AATGAGAAGTTTTGGCTTGTTTTCATACCGGCCACACTGGGTCCTCCCTTTAACTCGAGAACACCGACGTAATCGCCTTGAGTGGTGCAGATAACGGTCACTCTGGGATCAGGAATGGAACAGTATTGTCTTTAGTGACGAGACTCGATTTTGTTTAGGCATGCACGATGGTCGTGCCAGGGTTAGAAGGCGACGTGGTGAAAGGAGGAATCCACAGTTTTTTGTTGAAAGACATGTTCATCACACTGTTGAAGTTATGGTTTGGGGTGCTTCAGCTTATGGTTCCAGGTCACCTTTAATCTTCATCAGAGGTAACATGAACGCGCAGCGTTATATCCACGAAGTTCTAGAACCCCATATTTTACCCTATCTTGACACCCTGGCAGATCCAACTTTCCAACAAGATAATGCCCGACCACATGTTGCAAGAGTCACAATAGACTTCTTTCAACATAATGATGTCACATTGTTACCATGGCCACCAAGATCTCCCGACTTATCCCCAATTGAGCACGTGTGGGATATGATGGGTAGGAGATTGCTCAATTTGCAACGTCCTCCTCAGACTCTAGAAGCACTTCGAGAGGAGTTGGTGGTTGCCTGGAATGAGCTACCACAGGAGGACATTGACCACCTGATCAGAAGCATGCCTAGGCGCGTTGGAGAATGCGTAGCACATCAGGGTGCATCCACACATTATTAAAGGTCAAGGGGCTTTAAAGCAGTGCAATCATTTTGGAATTTTTATCATTTATAGTCAACGCCAAACAAAGTGGCGTGCACGTCATCACGATAAAAATTCCCCGACCTAATGCCTAGGTTTCTATCACAAACAATTGCTCTATTGCAGTTTCATATTAATGTGATATATAAATTGTAAAATGGTCATTACTCTCTTATTATGGTTAATAGTCATATAAACATTGTTATTAAAATATCACATAAGTTGCTTTCTGATAAATTTAGACGCATTATGCGAAATAAAATGTTTTGCAAACGCTCCAATCACTTATCGACATGTAAACGCACTAAACCGATTTCGCAGCGTTGACACATTGTCACCTTGAAACTGATTTAAACTGGGAACTGACATTTGTATTAATTTTGACACTGAATCAATTTGTGGCATTTCAAATCTTTATAAATCCTTTGGCCCCGCATACTGTAAATCAACAACTGTTTGTTTCAAAACAAAATTATTCATTTTACGAGTAGATAAAGGCAATTTTGGTATATAAAGATGCCCAAACAGTTAAATAGTCGGTGTAAGGAACTCGTGGCCTCGTTAATGCACTACTTTGAGCAAGAAAGGGACAACAACGGGCCTTTGTTGCCTTTAAATGCTGTTCAAGAGGTAGGTTACTAATAATTATATGTAATGTATATTAATAATAGTGAAATTTTATTTCATTTTTTGTAGCGTGTTGCTGCTGCTTTAAAAATTAGTTTAAGGACAGTTAGTCGTATTTCCGAGGGTGTGAAAAGTGATGCAAATTTAGAATCGCCCAAGAAAAAGCGGAGTTATATTAAACGTGTAACCAACACAGCGACATTGGATACAAGTGCCATTCGAGAAGTGATCTATAATATGTATCACAAAAGTAAGATCTTATTATAATAACTTATCAGAAATTTGCATTAATTTGTTAACTAAATTATAATGTCATATTACACATGGTTTCAGAAGAACAAGTTACGATACAAACTTTATGGTCTCGATTAAGAGATAGGGCATTATTTGATGGTAGTGCCACGTCTTTAAGGCGGTTGCTTAGAGATCTTGGATTTAAGTGGCTTAAGGACAATCCGCGACGAGGGCTCATGGAACTACCAAGTATAGCTTTGAAAAGGGTGGAATTTCTAAGGCAATACAATCAAGCCAAGGTTGAGGCCTTATACCAGTTTGTCTTCCTCGATGAAACTTGGATATTTCAAAATGGGACCATAGGTCGCTCTTGGCAAAATGGAAACCAAAAAAGCGTGAAAGCTATTAAAACAGATGGTAAAAGGTATGTACTTTTACACAATTTGCACTATAAAATTTAAAACTAAGATATTTTAGATACATTATATTACATGCTGGAAATGAAAATGGGTTTATTGAGGGTAGTGAAGCGATATTTTCTTCGAAAACAAAATTGAGCGATTACCATGGAGAGATGAACCAGGACAATTTTTTGAAATGGTTTCAACATCAGTTATTAGAAAAATTGGAGAGTCCATCTATGATTATACTGGATAACGCCCCTTATCACAGCATGATATTGAACAAAGTGCCCAACAATGCATGGACAAAAAAAAATATCCAAGACTGGTTGACAAATCAAAACATACCATTTTTAAACACAATGTTTAAAACAGAGCTATTGAGTATTGTTGCTCGGTACATAATGCTTCTTAATTATATATATTTTGGTCGACAGTTTATATTTCTTTTGTTTATTCCTATTCTTAAAATAACTGCTTTTTTAGAAACAAACCACCTAAAATATACGTGATTGATGAATTGGCGGAACAACATGGGCACAAAGTTCTTCGTCTGCCTCCTTACCATTGTATATTTAACCCTATTGAGTTAATTTGGGGCATAGCAAAAGGTTACTATAACAGACATATTGGTAGAGATGGTAACAGTGAAAAAGACTGTTTGGATATGTGGAACGAGGCTCTACAAACGGTTACCCCAGACATGTGGAAAAATAGTGTTCGACATACTGAGCAAGAAATTTTTAAATGGTATGAAAGAGAACGAATTTTTGATCGACCAGACATCGAACCTTTAATAATCAACTTTGAGAGTGATGAAGATTCAGATTCAGACAGCGCTGAAGAAAGAAACTCCGACTAACTTTATTGTACAGAAAAAGCTTACACCAGTAGCTTACCTAATTTTAGAATGCATTTTTCTGTATGAATTCTGTAAAATAAATACCATGCATAAAATTTGGAGGACCCCATTTGGATTTTTATTCAGTACCTTTAAGCTATCAATTAAATATGGTAGTTTCATAGTGTCATCTGATCAATAATTGTCATACTTAATGATTATGCAAGTACAGATCTATAATTTTATTATACTATTATTTTTGTTCTCATTTGAGGTTAATATTGCTTATAAACCTAGATATGTAAATAATAAATTTTATTATTTTACAAAAAGTTTGGCAACAATGTAAATTTTTCAACACACCCACCTTGATGACGTGCACGCCACTTTGTTTGGCGTTGACTATACTTATTATGCTTCATTAAGTACTTATACAAAATTTTATTAAAATAAAACCATTTAAACTGGGTGTTCGGATTTATATGTCACTTAGTATATATTATCAAGCGCAAAAAATGTTTCTCTTTGTATACCGCAAGGTAGTAAATTAGGTCGACTACTTTTTATTTCATACTTTAATGACATTTGTGATATTTAAGATTATCGTAAAATTCAGATATTCGCAGATGATAAGTATCAGATGATATTATAGACGCTGCTTTAAAAATGCTAAACTCCGACTTGGCAAAAGATCGTAAATTGCTTAAATGTTGTAGTTTTTTAAAAGCATGCTAAAAGAATCTTAAACCGACAAAAAATCATCAAATGACCCTCGTCCTCCCCCGAGATGCACTGCTACAGGTCCACATAATCGTAGAATAAAAAGAAAACCCTTTTGACAATTCAAAACACAAAACAAATTAATATTGCATGCTATTGACATCGTTAGCCGAATGTTTTGAAAAAGCTTGCACCGAGATAGCTTGTATCGATTAAATCCGACATAAATCCCGATTTAAATATTACAATGACCTTTTCATGTGTTTACAAGACAACATGCTGATACAATAACAGGACAGGTTTGTATTTATATCGCACGATAATATTAACTGTGATCTGCTAAAGGCTAAATGTATCACTGATGTAAGGCGCGTTATTTTCGTTGAATTTCCAAAGATAAATAAGGATATAACGACAAATATAATTGTAGTTTTTGTTTTGTCACAGCATACCTCACCGGCATAAATACGCGTATGACAAAGCTCTGCATCTATCCTAGAATAAATTAAAGTAAACAGGTGGTTTTATTTTATGTAGTTAACTGCTCGTATAGTTTGGCCGTTTTTTCAAGTGTAGATTGTTCAACAAGTGTGATACCCAAGGGACAAAGGAGCGGTCGTATCACGTTCTTAGATCGCGAGAAGATGCGTAAGAATATTATCTGGATATACAGGGTACACCCCGTAGAAAAGCGGTTTTGGAGAACATAATCATAGACATTTGGTATATTTAGAGGTTGCCGTTAAAAAAGTCTGTTCGAAAATTCCCACATCAAAAATTTCAGTCACTAGATTTTCAGAGAAGTCACAATATATACAGGACGATCCAAAAATAGTGAGAGGAAGATGCGATATGTTTGTTTTTGCTTTCACTTTAAAGTTGTATATGAGAAAATAAAAACAAAACATGCGAAGAAGTTATTCCGTGAGACAAAATAAAAACATTCATACAATGATTTCTTCAACGCTCTATTCACGTATTTTCCACGAATAGTATACTAAGTGGCATATAAAATGTAACACCCAGAATTGTTTATTGGATTTTGATGAATACTTGCTATCATGGAAGTATTAAAGGCTCTTTTTGTCATACCATGATCCGGACAATGAACACGTTTATTTGATATTCAGTGTTGGTTACATTTATTTCATTGTTGTTGCATTCCATTATCATGCCAAGAGTTCGCAGATGTGCTAATTTTCAGCCTCAACATATTATTGGCAATAATATCCCAGCTACTTTGCGAAATTTCGAGTTCAAATTTAAATCACCTTCTATTTATCATTAGACATAAAATTTGTAAAAGTATGCTCAAAATTACAGCAGTCCTAGTCGGTGTTGCATTTTCTATGTCATTTATATTTGCATCTTCTTGCAACAAAATCTAGTGACCAAAATGCAATTCAAGCATGCCACTAAGTCACAATCCATGCATTAACCATGTAGTCCTTACCTTCTTCTTCAGAATCTGACATGAACGTTTCGTGCATAAGCTCCGGAGCCTGCACCCTGTATTTCTCTTCAACATTTGTTGTTGTGGTTGTAGTCGTGGTAGTGACGGTGGTCACTATTTTTAGAGTTTCGATCACAGTTATGTAGCCCAGTTTCTGGGCGATATTCAGAGGTGTCTGGCCGTTCTGTAAAAGAAACAAACATGATAAAAATAAAACCAGAAAAAGGATGAACGTGCAAAGAAGTTTGGATCCTAAGTCCTCGGTTCCTCGTATATACCTTCCAAGATACTGGAGAGCAACTAATGCTCTTAAAATGAAACTATACTAAGTGACATATAAATCCGAACACCCAGTTTAAATGATTTTATTTTAATAAAAGTTGGTGAATGTATTTATCTTACTGTAAATAACAAGTGAAAAAATTTTCAGCCTTATCAGTTGGACATTCCAGTTTTTATACTGCTTTTTTTAAATCACTAACGCTCTAAAAATGAATATTTCAGCCGCAGTAAAGAATCAACGTTGGCGGATTTTGGTTCTTGACATCCTTTACGATCGGTTACGATGCCTATAGTACGGAGACCTGTACGATTTCGTCAACTTAGTGAGTTTGATAGGGGCCGTATAGTGGGACTTCGGGAAGCTGGACTTTCTTTTCGGGCAATTGCAGTTAGAGTGCAAAGAAGTGTAGACACTGTGGTTAGGTGTTGTCAGGCATGGCTTCGAGAAGGCCGTACGCAAAGAGCAAGGGGCACTGGACGCCGCCGTAGAACAACAGACCGTGAAGATCGCCGCCTAAGATTATTGGCCTTAAGGGACCGTTTCTCCACTACCAGGTCCATTGCAAATGAATGGTTTGCAGAACACGGAAGACCTATTGGCATGCGAAGTGTTTACCGACGAATGAGAAGTTTTGGCTTGTTTTCATACCGGCCACACTGGGTCCTCCCTTTAACTCGAGAACACCGACATAGTCTCAATTTTGTTTAGGCATGCACGATGGTCGTGCCAGGGTTAGAAGGCGACGTGGTGAAAGGAGGAATCCACAGTTTTTTGTTGAAAGACATGTTCATCACACTGTTGGAGTTATGGTTTGGGGTGCTATAGCTTATGGTTCCAGGTCACCTTTAATCTTCATCAGAGGTAACATGAACGCGCAGTGTTATATCCACGAAGTTCTAGAACCCCATCTTTTACCTTATCTTGACACCCTGGCAGATCCAACTTTCCAACAAGATAATGCCCGACCACATGTTGCAAGAGTCACAATAAACTTCTTTCAACATAATGATGTCACATTGTTACCATGGCCACCAAGATCTCCCGACTTATCCCCAATTGAGCACGTGTGGGATATGATGGGTAGGAGATTGCTCAATTTGCAACGTCCTCCTCAGACTCTAGAAGCACTTCGAGAGGAGTTGGTGGTTGCCTGGAATGAGATACCACAGGAGGACATTGACCACCTGATCAGAAGCATGCCTAGGTGCGTTGGAGAATGCGTAGCACATCAGGGTGCATCCACACATTATTAAAGGTCAAAGGGCTTTAAAGCAGTGCAATCATTTTGAAATTTTTATCATTTACTTATTATGCTTCATTAAGCACTTGTACAAAATTTTATTAAAGTAAAACCATTTAAACTGGGTGTTCGGATTTATATGTCACTTAGTATATTTCCAAAAACTGTATTGTCTCGTTCTCATCTCAGTTTAATTTATGATGAAGATTTCCAAGGAGACCGGAATGGCTGCGGTTCATGAGAAGATCTAATTGTTATTCTCCAAAGCAAGAGGCGGATTATGATAAGAAATTACATCAATTTATCCGTTCACAAAGGAATGACAGTTCGTACAAGGCGTGTAAATAGTTGTCATTACAGGGAAGCTCCTTGACAGTTACGTGATTTAAGGTCGCTCATCCCTTTTTTTCAACTGTGCGATTGGGGCAGCATTATTAATACATATTGTCTAATTATTTTATGGTGTGTGTAAAAATGACTGATTTGTGATAAGCTCAATTTTTCTGCCGCGATAGCTTCAGAAAAAATAGTCGCACAGACATGAGATTTCGTGATTGCATTACAAATGGATAATGGAAGGTCGCATATGGTTCATTTGATAGATTACGTTTTTTTCTTCCACAAAAATATTTTTTTCTTATCGGAGAAAAACAATTTTTCAGATATTGTTCATACTGAACATAGAGAAGTTATAGAACAAGCCACAACAAAAAAATAAGCTTTCTACTTCAAACGGTCTAAGAGGAGTCGAGGCAATTGGATATTAATCGTAGCAAAACCACGCCTCCAGCGAGTGACAAGTGGCTAGATATAAGACAGCTGCCTTGTTCGGCATGCTAATTATTCACCGTGTTACCACCCGTTCGATTTATTCCTCGAGTGTCGAAGTGTTGTATCTGTGATTATTGTTATTGTTATAAGTTTGTTGTTGTTGCTCTGTTTTGTGATTAAGATGCCTAAGGCCCGTCCTCCACTATCGAAAAGACGTCACGTGTCAGGAAAGAGATGTCTACGTCGAAAGAATGCTCCAAAAACAAGGTAAGTATTGCTTTACTACACAGAAACACGTATGACGGCTCATTCTTTTTAAAACGGGAGCCACAAGAAGTCATTCGGCTTGAGTAACTATATAAATATCTAAAATCAATAGACTAGAAACTGAAATTTGTCGTTTTCTGAAACCACGATGAGTAGGTGTGTTTAAGGGATAGTGGGCAAGGCGTATCATTTTATCATGAATTTATTCATTGCACTATGACTTTGTGGATTATGGTCTTTCAGGGGGTAGGTATGAAGGCCGTTAATAAATATTACTAGTGTGCAAGGAAATGTGTTGATAAGATTGGATGACCGTCCTATTTATAAAGTTTAATACGTTAAGAATGGGTCGTTTATAGTTTTGTTGTTGACGCCTCCTCCGAGGTATTTAGGTAACTTCTATTTCTGGAGCCAATTTCATTAATATATGCATATGAGCTTGTTGTAACATCGTCGACCACGAACTCGACCGCGTATAGCTGGTTAGTAGGTTGGTTCTAGCAGGCAACAAAAACGGCAATCCGGCTTCTAATTAAGTTTCCTATCTGGTACCCTTGTCAGCTTTTGTAATTACTGGGGCATTACCCAGATCAGTGGAAACTCGATATAGTTGTTCAGCCACCTAAATGTTCTGATCCTACTAACTGAGACCGATCAGCTACCTGACTGATTTCACAAAAGCATTGGAACGCGCTGTTTAGGAGCAGCTCTGCGTCTACTTATATTCTAACAAAATTATTCCTTCTGTACGGGCTGTTTGGGGTCTACTTTGAAACCTAGCGTTACACTGACAAAAAGTCGATGCCAGATTTACCATCGGACGGGTTTTTGTCTTGATTACAGGCAACGAAAAGGGAGAAGCACAAAACTTCATACAGCTTTGTCTCCCACTGTCAAAAGAGAATGCGACTAGACCACGTACGCTCGGTTGATTTGGGGAGCTGAATTAGAATATAATCCTAAAAGATTGCGAAATATCGTGGGGGGAATTTGAAGCAGCAAATGTGTAATTTTGCCTGAAGCTCTTATGAATACTTTGCGTCGAGAAACCACGTCCTAACTAGACCAAGTACAGTCACATCGTTACGTACAGTGACACTGAATACTAGTGAATACTGATGGTACGTAAATACGAATTAAGAAACATGCAGCTTGTTAAAACGCTGCGCGAACAAACTTAGTGTACGTTTGTATAAACGAAATATCTGTCAAGGACGGTAAGCAATTAGATGCAGTATGCGCTCTGCTAGTATGTAAACAATAAAATGTGGAATTTTAGAACCATTTCAGTAGCATTTTGCTACAATTATCCTAGTTAAATGCATCAGATGAGTTCGAATGGGTTTCTGGCTAAAAATAGAGGTTACCAGTACAAATTACTACTCTGATAACAGCATAATGAGCTAGAGCAAGTGATAGAAATGATTTATATGGATTGGTTTAATCCACCCATGCTTTATTTGTTTGTTTGTCGAAGATCTATTTAGCATTAATGTTTATTTGTTTAATTATCCTTTTGCGTATTGTTTGAATCGTTTCCTGCAATTTTACATTCTTGTCTATTGAAATTACAGCTCTATGCATTTTGAGTATTCATAAATTGATTTTCACCTTAGACATTATTAAATTCGAACATCATTAATCAATCTATCAAATTCAAATACTCCCTTTTTGAATGCAGACTTGCTAGTTATGCTACTATTACGATTTTGCAGGTGAAAATATAAACTGCCTCTAGTTTCGTAGTTATGATATTGACTATACTACGGTATGTAATGTGTGAAACTTTTAATACCATATCTAATTATTGTGATTGCTATATATGCTGACAGTTTGAACAGCATTCTGGGAGTAGTTAGGAATTACTTAAGCAATCTATGATATTTTTCTCACTTGAGTGAAATATGTTTTTTGCTTCTTCTTCTTCTTCTTCTTCTTGTTTGTTTTTCCCTTTAGAAAGAATCACCTGCTGTTTGTGTGTTTGATTTAACTTTTATAGGTATTGCAATGTAAATGGTTTACTTAACTTTTAGGCACTAAACTCTACTTATTTATTTATTTAAACACAAATTGGTACTTAGAATCACCTTAACCATTTACTCACCGTAGTAACAGCGTTGGCGTCGGCTCCGTTCTCCAGCAGCAAATCGACAATATGCGCATGCCCCTGTTGCGCAGCCTGATGTAGGGGCGTGTACCCCATGCTCGTCCTGGTGTCACCCTTCGCCCCGTGCGTTAGCAGCGTGCGCACCGCCCCCGCTCTTCCATAATGGGCGGCGACATGAAGAGGTGTGTACCCGCCTTTAGTGGCCGCGTTCGCGTCTGCGCCCGCCTTTAGCAGCGTCTCGCAGACCGCCACGTGGTCTTCTTGGGCGGCGAGGTGCAGAGGGGTCAGGCCGTTCTAGGAAAAATAAATATGTAAATCTGATAATGCACATTGTTTTGAGAATATTAAGAATCCTGAAAATTCTGAGAATTTTGAGATTTTTTGAATTTTTGAGAATTGAGGATTTTGAGAATTTTAAGGATTTCGAGAATTTTGAAAATTTCGAGAAATTAGAGAATCATGCGGATTTCGAAAATTTCGAGGATTTTGAGAATTTTGAGAATTTTTAGAATTCTGAGACTTCTGAGAATTTCGAGAATATCGAAAATTTTGAGGGCTTCGAGCATTTCGAGAATTTAGAGAAATTTGAGAATTTCGAGAATTCTGATAATTTATTGAATTTCGAAAATTTCTGGAATTTCGGGAGAGTCGAGAATTTCCAGAATGTCCGGAAATTCGAGAATTTTGAGAATTATGATAATTTAGAGATACTTGAGAATTTTGAAAAATTCGAGAATTCTGAAGATTTCGGGAATTTCGAGCATTTTGAACATTTTTATAATATTGCGAATTCTGAGAATTTCGAAAAATTTGACAATTTCGAGAATTCCGCGCATTTCTAGAATATTGAGAATTTAGAAAATTTCAAGAATTTTGAGGGTTTCGAGGATTTTGAGAATTTTGAAATTTTGAGAATTTTTAGAATTCTGAGACTTCTGAGAATTTCGAGAATATCGAAAATTTTGAGAGCTCCGAGCATTTCGAGAATTTAGAGAAATTTGAGAATTTCGAGAATTCTGATGATTTATTGAATTTCGAAAATTTCTGGAATTTCGGGAGAGTGGAGAATTTCCAGAATGTCCGAAAATTCGAGAATTTTGAGAATTATGATAATTTAGAGATACTTGAGAATTTTGAAAAATTCGAGAATTCTGAAGATTTCCGGAATTTCGAGAATTTCGAGCATTTTGAACATTTTTATAATATTGCGAATTCTGAGAATTTCGAAAAATTTGAGAATTTCGAGAATTCCGCGCATTTCTAGAATTTTGAGAATTTTGAAAATTTCGAGAATTTTGAGGATTTCGAGGATTTTGAGAATTTTGGATTTTGAGAATTTTTAGAATTCTGAGACTTCTGAGAATTTCGAGAATATCGAAAATTTTGAGGGCTTCGAGCATTTCGAGAATTTGAGAATTTCGAGAATTCTGATAATTTATTGAATTTCGAAAATTTCTGGAATTTCGGGAGAGTCGAGAATTTCTAGAATGTCTGGAAATTCGAGAATTTTGAGAATTATGATAATTTAGAGATACTTGAGAAATTTGAAAAATTCGAGAATTCTGAGGATTTCGGGAATTTCGAGAATTTCTGAGATTTCTGAGAATTTCGAGAATATCGAAAATTTTGAGGGCTTCGAGCATTCCGAGAATTTAGAGAAATTAGAGAATTTCGAGAATTCTGATAATTTAGGGAATTTCGAAAATTTCTGGAATTTCGGGAGAGTCGAGAATTTCTAGAATGTCTGGAGATTCGAGAATTTTGAGAATCATGATAATTTCGAGATACTATAGAATTTTGAAAAATTCGAGAATTCTAAGGATTTCGGGAATTTCGAGCACTTTGAACATTTTTATAATATCGAGAATTCTGAGAATTTCGAAAAATTTGAGAATTTCGAGAATTCCGCGCATTTCTAGAATTTCGAGAATTCTCCCTAATTTCGATCTATAATATTTTGTCAATTCATCCAAATCTTTATTACTACAAAATCAACTATTGATTTGAAGTATTTACTTGAAGCATACTCTCCTTTTCATTGAAATGCTTTACCTTTGCCTCGTGATTGACGTTCGCCTTATTTTCCAAAAGCAACGCCACCATTTCCTGATGCCCCTCCTGCGCTGCTAAATGTAAAGGTGTGAACCCGGCTTTACTCTCCGCGTCTGGCTTAGCGCCGAATTCCAACAGCGCATGCGCAATGTCCATCTGATTTTTTCGCGCTGCAACGTGAAGCGGAGTATGGCCGTTCTTAGCTGCTGTGTGAGGTGATGCCCCTGAAAAAAAAAATTACGGTTTCTTTTTGAGAAACTTGACAACACAGAGATACATACAAGTTGTAGCCTAATTTGTGAGAGTTGTTGGGGTTTTGAAAGCTTCGATTTTTTAAAAAAGTCGTGGTAGTTTTGAGAGTGCAGTTTGTGAGTCTTGAGGGTTTTGGGAGCTTTGAGAGGTTTGAGTTTTGAAAGTTTTGAGAGTTTCACAGTTATGCGAATTTTGACAATTCCGTCAAACTCGATAATTTTGAGAAATTTGTTTATTTGACAATTTAAAAAAAATTGAGAATTCTGAGAACTTTGAGAATTGTGAGAATTTTGAGTACTTTGAGAATTTTGAAAATTTTGATAATTTTGATAATTTTGATAATTTTGAGAATTTTGAGAATTTTGAGAATTTTGAGAATTTTGAGAATTTTGAGAATTTTGAGAATTTTGAGAATTTTGAGAATTTTGAGAATTTTGAGAATTTTGAGAATTTTGAGAATTTTGAGAATTTTGAGAATCTTGAGATTCTTGAGATTCTTGAGAATTTTGAGAATTTTGAGAATTTTGAGAATTTTGAGAATTTTGAGAATTTGAGAATTTCGAGAATTTCGAAAATTTCGAGAATTTTGAGAATTTTGAGAATCTTGAGAATCTTGAGAATCGTGAGAATTTTTAGAAATTTGAGAATTTTGAGAATATTGAGAATTTTGAGAATTTTGAGAATTTTGAGAACTTTGAGAATTTGAGAATTTTGAGAATTTTGAGAATTTGAGAAATTTGAGAATTTTGAGAATTTTGAGAATTTTGAGAATTCTGAGAATTTTGAGAATTTTGAGAATTTTGAGAATTTTGAGAATTTTGAGAATTTTGAGAACTTTGAGAACTTTGAGAATTTTGAGAATTTTGAGAATTTTGAGAATTGTGAGAATTTTGAGAATTTTGAGAATTTTGAGAATTTGAGAATTTTGAGAACTTTGAGAACTTTGAGAACTTAGAGAATTTTGAGAATTTTGAGAATTGTGAGTATTTTGAGAATTTTGAGAATTTTGAGAATTCTGAGTATTTTGAGAATTTTGAGAATTTGAGAATTTTGAGAATTTTTTTAATTTATTAATATTTAAAGTTTTTTGAATTTTTAGGATCTTTAGAACTTTCAGAATTTTATAATCTTTAGAGAATTTTGACAATTTTGAAGTTTAGAAAAATTTTAGAATTCCGAGAAATTTAGTTTTGGGCGCCTTGACAGTTTTGGGAGTTTTGAAAGTTTCTAAAGTTTTAATAGCTTTGAGCGTTTTGAGGTTTTCAGAATTATTAGAGGTATGAGAGTTTTGGGATTGTTGAGAGTATGGAAAGTTTTGGAAGGTTTCAAGAGTTTTCCGAGTTTTAATTTTTGAGGATTTTAGCAGTCTCAAGCTCTAGAGTCCTGAGTTTTGCCGGTTATCTAATTTCTAGAAGTTCCACTATCTAAAAAATAGAGTGGTTTGGGAGTTTTCAGTTCCGAAATGCACGTCGAAACTCACCTTTGTCCAATAAGAGCAGGGCAACATTTTGATGATCATAATGTGCAGCCACATGCAGTGGTGTGACGCCGTTTTTGCCGTGAGTGTCTACTGGAGCTTCTTTCTGTAGAAGCAACTTAGCGACACCTAAGTGTCCGTGCTTTGCGGCTAAATGCAGCGGAGTGAGGCCTTTCTTTGTAGTCGCTGCTGGGGATGCACCGTTATCCAAAAGAACCGCTGCCACCTGGAAAATGATTGCATTTTTAAAGGGTAAAACTGATACCAAGTTAGACGGTTATCTCTTTGTTGAAGCCTAGATTTTACGCTTGAGAATAAGAGTGCATGTCTCACCTCATCTTGTCCCTCTCTAGCAGCTATATGCAGTGCAGAATAGTTATCTTTGGTAGTGTTATCAACTTTAGCGCCGTGTTGTAATAGCAACATGACAATGTCTACGTTGCCGAGTCTTGAAGCTATATGGAGAGGAGTTTGTTGCTCTCTCGCTCTAGCATCTACTTGAGCGCCGTTTCTAAGGAGGATGCGGATTATATCGGTCTGAAAAGAAATAAGATCAGAAAAGTAACAAGAACGACGTATTCCTGTGATTTTGTTGACGAATAAACTCTTACTTGATTTGCTCGAGCAGCTAAATGCAGAGGAGTTTCTCCTCTAACGGTGGGAACGTCAGGATTGGCGTCATGTTGGAGGAGGTATATCACTATGTTCATACAGCCCATAAAACTAGCTACGTGCAGGGGTGTGAGTCCGCTTTCTGTCGTTGCGCTGATGTCTGAAAGAGAACAAATGTTTTCGTTGATCAAAAATCAAAGTGTTTTCCACTACTTGCCGCCATATTGCAAGCACTCATTATAAAGCAAGTACTTCTTTTATGCTTTGTCTTGTCTATACTCACTTGCTCCGTGTTTGAGCAGCAACTCGACCACTTTGATCCGATTTTTCTTGCATGCAATGTGCAGCGGCGTGAACCCGTTCAAAGCTCTGGCGTCTGCATCCGCGCCTCTGTCCAACAACAGTTTGGCGACCCTGGCGTGTCCGCAATGGGCAGCGACGTGGAGGGCTGTCAAGTAGTCGACTGTGACGTCATCGACGGGCGCCCGATGGTACAGGAGGATGCGGGCGGCGTCCACGTGGTCGCCCTGCGCGGACATGTGTAATGGCGCCAGGCCGTTCTGCGGATGGAAGGAAAACGTGTAAAAAAAGCGTGCAAGCAAATCAGTGTCGTCTAGGTGTTAAAGTGTTAGGTCGGTGGTTGTGTACCAGAGACGTTTTACTGACTAGGTAGAAGGAGCCGGTTACCCAACTATACTATAACTATCTAAAACTGTAATGACTCATCGATTTTCTCGTGAACATCACTTAACTACCAGTAGTCGGCTGTTCATAGGCGGGGTATGAATGTTTAACATGGGTGAACTAGATTTGTCACATGCTTAATAAAGAGTGGTTTGAAACATATTGTAAGTAAAAAATTTGGGAATTACCTTTATTCATCGTCGCTTCCACTTACATCTGACAGTAATAAACTGTCGCTATCGCTTTCCTCGTTGAAATTGACTATAACTGGCTCTATGATGGTGTCCATGTGGTGGTCAAGCTTCCACATTTTTGTTTCTTCCTTCATAACATGACGGATAGCATTCTGCCAAGCTTCGGGCGTTACTAGCTGTATGGAAGTCTCAAGTAAAACCTTAACCTCTGGTAATTTGAAGGTTGTGTTATGGCGCGCAATATAACCCATATAACCCTTCACTTGAGCCCAGATGAGCTCTATTGGGTTCAGTTCACAGTGGTAGGGCGGTAACCGCAGCACAGTGACACCACATTGACGGGCCATCTCATCAGTCACGTAACTAATGTTCGCAAGTTTGTGCTGTTTAATTTTTTCATACAATTCCGCTTTCACACATGAATCGTCAAACGGGATTCCTTTTTCGCGCAACCATTGCTGCATGTCACTTTTTCGAGATCCTATAGTCGGTACACGTTCGGCTCGACGACTATGGTAGAAAGCATTATCCATGACGATCACAGAGTTGGGCTCAACTCGCTGAAGCACCCCTTGAAACCAGCTCTCGAAGCAGCTGGCATTCATATCGTCATGGTAATCACCTCCTTTCTTAGAGACGAAAATCAAGTCACACTCTTCTAAAAAGCCACTATCGCTACCAATATGAGTTACGATCAATCTTTGACCTTTTCCCGACGGTCCACGAAGACCTGTTGACAAACCTTCAATGCTTGCTTGTCGGTTACTCACTACGTTTTTGTCTATCCAGGTTTTTTTAACTGTGTGACCTGCATTTACCCATGTCTCGTCCAAATAATAGATTTTTCCGCTTTGTCGCCTATATTCAATCATTTCGCGTAGGTATTTTCGACGCCAGTCGACTATTTCAGGTCTCTCTATCAATATTGACTTCCGATTACGCGTTTCGTAACGAAAATTAATTTCGTGCAGGGATTTCCTCATTACCTCGACGCTCATTTGGGGTATAATTTCATTTTCCTTGATCGCTGCATGTACAGCCTTGAGGGTTGGTATCTCATTCCTAAAGAAGAATGAATGTACGGTTCGCCTTAACGCCATTTTGCTATCGTCATTCAATTTAACGGCCTTTCGTCCCTTCAAGTTAAACTGTGGATCAGTAGTAGCTCCAGTTTTCTTCTTTTCATCCACCACCCTGCGAATGGTCCACTCTGGAACGCCTGTCATACTTTCACAACGCGCGAGTGCATCTCCCTGCGACATAGTTCTGTTCAGATAATTGAACACGTTGAGCACGATTTCTTTCGCGTCCCTCTTCAGTGCTTTACGAAGCCGTCTACTTGTTCCCTGGCTTTCAGTACTTCCACTTGAGCCATTTGTACTCTCCCTGGTTAAGTATAACCAAAACAGTAACCACAGAAACCACAACAATAACAATCACACAACAATTCTTATAAAAACACACAATATGCGATCGCTCAACGGAACACGTTCCAATGCGTTGCCGACGCCTATGAGTCTGCCGGTCGAGGCGCGTCTTTGATTTCATTGGTTCTACCGGCGGAGAACAATCAGCCATTATTTCCATCTCTGTCTGTGCTGTTGACCACCGCAAAGCCACAGAAACGACATATGTCGTACGCTAAACGGCTGTACTGGAAGGAAGCCGGGATCGAGCTCTGATCACGCGTATGAGTCATTAAAGTTTTAAATAGTTGTAGCATTTTGTTATCTGAGAAAAAGTGACCTGAATCTGTCGAATTTTAGTAATCATGTACAGTGAAATTCCACTTGGACACCTCCTTTAAACGGACAGACAGTAATGACAAATATTCAATAAATTTAAGGTACAAATAAAGTAGTGTTTTATTTATCAAATAAGAATTAGGTTTTGAAATCCATACATGGTTTCCCTAAACTCATCAAAGCAATTTCTAGTAACATCCTTTTGGGGCCTGTATTTTATAAACAAGTTCCTTGATTATTTTAAGAGAAACGGCAAATATTACTTTTTCTTTTACGTCCTCACCTTGGTCTTCGCCGTGATGGGCGCGCCCCTGTCTATAAGCAGATCCAACACCTGTTCGTGTCCGCTTCTCGCGGCGCAATGCAATGGCGTGAGTCCGTCTCTGGTACGGGCGTCCACCGCGGCGCTCCTGTCCAAAAGCAGCTGCGCCATCGGCGTTTTTCCCCACTTGGCGGCGACGTGAAGCGGCGCGATTTGATGCTTGGCGGAGCGGTTAGGGTCCGCGCCCCTTTCCAAAAGGAGCGCGCCCACCGCGCGGTTGCCGTAGTGCGCGGCGATGTGCAGAGGAGTGAAGCCGCTCTTGCTGGTCACGTCGGGATTGTGCTCGTTCTGGAAAAAGATAAATAATTGGATCAGTTTTTGATTTGTTCATTGCCAAGAGCGAGGGGTCATTCGCTGGGGAATTAGTCGTACACATGGCAGGAATTACGGGGAAGTAACAGGAATCGCAATGAAGTAAGGGGAATTATGGAGAACTACGCGAGAAAATAAAGGCATTTTGTAAGACTCCATTTGCGGAACCTTTTGAATCGTGGAGGAACTTCTTCGGAACCTAAATTTTAGAGGGACTTTTTGGAAAGAAAGGTTTATTTTCGGAATTTTTGAATAACTCAAACATTTTATAATATTTATTGGAATAAATGCCGGCAATACCGTAAAGATACCCTGACATGGAACACTTTCGATTTGAAACTAAAATAGTTCAATACCTGAAATTCTCCTCTGCCACTAGGTATGGGAAAACTGGGAAATTATATAATCGGTTTTTTAAATAAAAACTGGTTATGGCACGGCTAAGATCGATTAATAAGAAAGGTTATTTTTGTTTTTATCTAAAGAATCTCAATGAATATGGCCATTTTGGATAGGCCTCTAGCTCTTCAATTTCCCCAATAGCTATCTCCCCTCTTCTCCGAGACGCCCTACTTCCTGAACTCCAACCCCAAGACAGACTAATAAATCCGCCACTTTTGATCAACCGCATAACCAAATCGTTCTCCGTCGGATCATATCTTGAATACCTCGCTGTCAAGATCGACTTCCTGAACATCAATCGTCCCGCTTCAGAGGTTGTTCTTCTCGGTGATTTAAATTACCATATTGAGCTCTGGTTGGGCTCGACCAAGACCGATACAGCAGGACGTGCAGTTGAAGCGTTCGCTACTACCCAAGGACTGACCCAGTTGGTGACGAACCCTACTTTTTTTCTCCGCGTTTCGTCACACGCCAGTAGCCTGCTGGATCTTTTTCTGATCAAGCATTTTGTCCTTTACAGCAATGCTGTCCTGTCGGGCCCTACTTTTTCCCCTGTGTTTCGTCATACGCCAGTAGCCTGCTGGATCTTTTTCTGATCAAGCATCTTGTCCCTTACAGCACTGCTGTCCTGTTTCAGACCACGGTGCTGTGGAAGTTAGGTTTCAGGCAGAACCCGCTGTGGCAGCGGAAACTCGCTCAGGCCTCAAAACTTGGCATTGATTGACTGAACGAATTATGAAATTAGAGGCATAGACCTCAAGCCTCACAAGCCTTCTGACAAATTTGAGTATGGCCGTGAGTCCCATCTCCTTGGCGTTCTCGGGGTCCAAAGTGATGGACCCCAATATAGTCTGCCTGTAGTAGCTCAGAGCCTCACAGCGCCGAGGTCTCGTCCCACAAAAGGGATCCTCAGTCACCCTCATGACGTGCAGGTAGCGCCTCAACGTGTTATGGTCAGACAACAGTTCCACCTGCAACCTTAGGTTGGCTCTATTCAAAAGCGTCCATCCTTAACGCTGGGCTCTACGATGAGTGCCTGACGGAGATATCTGGAGTTGCTTCTCCATTTCTGAGAGTGTCGTCCAGTAATCCACTTCTCCATTTTCCTCCTAACGCTTTGTGGCACCCCTTAGGCTGGCTCAGGAACAACGGGCTTGCTGGCTGATCCTGCTTTCTCAACAGCGTCCCGGTACCCACACTTACGATACCGGATGCCTCGCTGCTAGAGAACCTAGAGCCTCCCCGCATTGCAATGCAAGGGTCTTAGTGCCTTCGTTGCAGCCTGGCTGTCGCAGAAAATTGTTATTCTTCTCCTAGGCGCTCCCTCTCCAAAATGCGGGGTACGCCAAGGCGAAGAGATAGCCTAGCCCTGGGCCCAAAGACTCCAGCGCCAGAGTCCTCTTTAGTGGCCGAGCCGTCCGTGTACCAGACCTGCTTATTCCCTCCAAAGACCTTCCGGCTACCTGAGCCCCACTGCACCCTCACTGCGGTTGAAGCCATACTTAGAGGTGATCTTGGCATTACGGATATGTCGACTGAGAGGGGCTCAGAGACTTTTTCTCCACCTTCCCTTGGAGAAATGTTTGTTTCGCTTACGCGGATGATTCGGTGAAGGATTTTTTTTTTAAATTCTCATGTACCTGCAATTTCCACCAAAAACGAAATCAATCTGAGATCAACAGGAAGCCCCTCAAGCCTCATTTCTCTACACCAAATCTAAGACCCACTTTCAGAGTCGGACCTAGAAAATACTTTTTTGAGGATCGTATGATGAATTTAAAATTAACCACTGAAAAAAGTGCCGGAAGCTCAGGAGCCATGTTCATCTTAAAATTGAGGAGCCCAGCCAGAGCTCATTATGGGCATTGAAAAAACCGAGAAGAACCTCGGAAATGAGCCATTGATGTTCAGGAAGATCCGCGGAAGAGCAATACGCACAGGAAATATATTTTGGCGATGTTTTGGAGTTGGGGTAAAGTCACAGAAACGCAGGGATCGTCACTAACTGGGTCAGCCGTTGTGTATTAGCGAACGCTTCAACTGCATGACCTGCTGCATCGGCCTTGTCTGAGCCCAAGAGCTCATTATGGGCATTAACATCACCGAGAAGAACTACCTCTGAAGCAGGGCGATCGATGTTCAGGAAGTCGATGTTGTCAGCGAAGTATTCAAGTAGATCATCCCAGCTATCATCCGAGTGAGAGCGATGAAGTCAGCCAATACATTTTGGAGATGTTTTGGATTTTACGCAGACACAGAATGTCCTTTTGACCTGATTCCAAAGAAAGGTCCCTGGAGCCGAAAATTCCCCCAACTCCCCCGTTCTTCCTCAGATTGGACTGCACCACCAATTGTACTAAGTAAACAAAATATGATACTGAGGAAATTTGGGGCGCTGATTTGGAATATGGCTATCAAAAAATCAAACTAGGTAAAAAATCGCCAGTCCGTCCAAGAACCGGGGTTTGGTCTAGATTGAGGATAGGCAAGAACTTTAGAAAGTATTTAACACTATTTACCCAAGGATCAAATTTGAAGATACTTGAGGATTTTTGAAAAATATTATAATAGCCCCTGGAACTAGAACATGAGACACCCTCGCTCAGGCAAGAAAAATTACGCGCGACGCGAACGTTCGATATGAATCGGGAAACATCGACCGCCATCTATCAGGCTTCAATGAAGACTCGATTTCTATGTAGAAAGCGTCGGAAGGCTTCTGGAATTCGGCAATTAGAAAGTAAATACGGGTGCCGAGAGTAGGTAGGCAGAGTAGATAGCGGCGATGAGTCAGCAGCGCGGATCAGAATAGTCCAGTCGACATTGTTATAAATTTGTAATAAATTAGTTGCGGGTGTTGCAGTGAGAGAGTAATAAATTAGACTTCAAATAGTAAAGACGGTGTTTGCGTTACAGTACCTAATTGTATGCATGGACTTGATGATAAAAAGCGAGACAAATTTTTATGAGTTCTCCAATATATGGGGTTGTCCAAAACGGAAGCAGGAAAGTAAACGCATCTTAAAACAAGAAAGATTCATATTCAAATCAAGTTGGGTACTTTATTTTGAAGGTTCATTTATACCATTTATGTATGAAAAATAATATCGCTCAAATGTTCACCACGACTGGATTTACAGACGTCCACGCGATGGTCGAAATTTTCAATGACATTTTGCAACATGGTCGGTTCTATGGCATTTATCTCGGCAATGATGTTGTTTTTGAGTTCTTGGAGGGTGGCTGGTTTGTTGACGTAGACTTTGCTTTTCAAATATCCCCATAAAAAGAAGTCCAAGGGAGTCAAATCGCACGATCTTGGTGGCCATGGCACATTTCCTCTGCGCGAAATCACGCGATCACCGAAGAAGGACTGCAGTCGATGGATATTGACGTTGGTTGTGTGGCATGTTGCACCGTCTTGTTGGAAATAAACATCGTCCATATGCATTCCTTCAAGTTGCGGCAAAAAATAGTCCTCTATCATCACGTGATATCGCTCAGAATTGACGGTAACGGCGTCCCCGGCCGCATTTTCGAAAAAGTTAGGTCCGATGATGCCTTTTGACCACAATGCACACCACACAGTCACTTTTTGAGGATGCATCGGCTGCTCTTGATACTCACGGGGATTTTCGTTCGCCCAGATGCGGCAGTTTTGCTTGTTTACCGTCCCATTCAAAGTGAAATGCGCTTCGTCGCTGAACATGATTTTTGATGAAAAATTGGCATCAGTTTGGCGGTGTTCAAGGAGCCAATCTGAGAACGTTCGGCGCGAAAAATGGTCGGCCCGACGCAGCTCTTGCGTCAATTGGATCTTGTAGGCGTGTACATTCAAATCCTTGTGGAGAATGCGGAGCAAACTGGTCCTCGAAATGCCCAATTCTTGGGATCGACGCGTTGTTGATTGTTTTGGATCGTCTCTCACACTCTCCTTCACAACAGCAATATTTTCCGGTGTGCGAACGCTCCTCGGCCGGCCAGAGCCTGGCAGATTTGCCACAGAACCTGTTGCCTCGAATTTACGCACCAGACGACCGACGGTTGTTTCGTTTGGGCGGTTGTTGCGACCGAAATGTTCACGAAGCGCGCGAAACGTGTTTTTTATTTTTGCACCATTTTTGTAGTGCTCTTGAATAACTTTAATGCTGTCTTCAATCGAATACGACTCCATAGCGATCAATGGTAAACATTCAACTAACAAAATGACATGTCGGTGACAGAAAACAAAGATGGCGTCTATGTCAAATTGACGTTTACTTTCCTGCGTCCCTACTGGACAACCCTTTAGTATGCATGATACTGTTCTTTAGAACCTACCTCAAGCAGTAGCTTAGCTGCCTTGACGTCATCTTTCTTAGCCGCTATATGCAATGCTGGTAGCCGTATTTTGCCTCTAGTGTCGTTTTCTAGCAATACAGTTACGACTTTGTCGTGCCCTTGCTGCATTGCTACGGCCAACGGTGTGAATCCATCCTGAAAAAAAAAAAACAGAATCAGATTAGCACATGAACAGTGTTTTTAATAGAGTTGGCATGCTTTTAAAAAACATATTCTCGATATCTAGACAATATCTGCATCATCATCAGGTATGAGGAACAAATTCCGTAGGTGTATCGATAGGAACGTGAGTGACTGTCTTTTTACATTTTATTAACTCTTATAATAATTGCATTGTGTTCCTTTTTGCTAGCTCATCGCTTTTGGTTTATTCTAACGATTTTTAATATAACCATTATTGTCAGAACCAAATGTAGTTTGGAGATTGAAGTGCTTTATTGATTAATTTGAAGTTCGTTCGTTTTTCAACTTTTATATTTACTTTCAAGTTTTTACCCATATTTGTGTGTATGTTTCTGTAGTGTTTGTTTTTTTTGGTACGCGTATTTTGTCTTTTATTTTCAACTTTTTCGCTCCAATACAACTGACTTGTATAAGCAAATTACAATATAAATGAAAGCAGGTAATACCTAGAAAAGCTTTATGACATAAACGTTTCGAAAATATACTAAGTGACATATAAATCCGAACACCCAGTTTAAATGGTTTTATTTTAATAAAATTTTGTATAAGTACTTAATGAAGCATAATAAGTAAATGATAAAAATTTCAAAATGGTTGCACTGCTTTAAAGCCCTTTGACTTTTAATAATGTGTGGATGCACCCTGATGTGCTACGCATTCTCCAACGTGCCTAGGCATGCTTCTGATCAGGTGGTTAATGTCCTCCTGTGGTATCTCATTCCAGACAACCACCAACTCCTCTCGAAGTGCTTCTAGAGTCTGAGGAGGACGTTGTAAATTGAGCAATCTCCTACCCATCATATCCCACACGTGCTCAATTGGGGATAAGTCGGGAGATCTTGGTGGCCATGGTAACAATGTTGAAAGAAGTCTATTGTGACTCTTGCAACATGTGGTCGGGCATTATCTTGTTGGAAAGTTGGATCTGCCAGGGTGTCAAGATAGGGTAAAAGATGGGGTTCTAGAACTTCGTGGATATAACGCTGCGCGTTCATGTTACCTCTGATGAAGATTAAAGGTGACCTGGAACCATAAGCTATAGCACCCCAAACCATAACTCCAACAGTGTGATGAACATGTCTTTCAACAAAAAACTGTGGATTCCTCCTTTCACCTCGTCGCCTTCTAACCCTGGCACGACCATCGTGCATGCCTAAACAAAATCGAGACTCGTCACTAAAGACAATACTGTTCCATTCCTGATCCCAGAGTGACCGTTGTCTGCACCACTCAAGGCGATTACGTCGGTGTTCTCGAGTTAAAGGAAGGACCCAGAGTGGCCGGTAACATTTCCTGTACGCCTGAAAAGAGTATGTTTCCTAAATCGCAAAACCGATCAAACACAAACACTGAAAATTCTCCCTTAATTCTTGGACGATTTGTATCTTATATGGATGAAGTTTCAAGTCACTCTTCAACATTCGTCTCAAACTCGTACGAGCAATACTCATATTCGCTGAACGCTCTGGACTGCCTTGAACAGATCCATCGTCCATCGTCTTGTCGGCAGTGTCAATCCGGTTTCTTGAAACTTCCTCAATCATTAAATTAGAGCTAGGGCGCTGAGGAATACACCGCAATCCATATAATTGATTCATGGGAACTTTTGAGTGTGTTCATTTTCAACGGTTTCAAACATAAACGTCACTCACGAAGTCATTAGCAGGCTGTTCATCACAACGTACACGATTTAGAGTCACTTGTCTGAGATTTAGAGTGTTTATCAAAAGTTGAAAGTTAATCGAAAGCCGAGCGAAGGTGTAGAGAAAAACGATAAATATCCTTTACGACCCAGACGATTAATTCGTGTCAAATCTCAACAGAGTTTTAAAAATATAATGGTTGTAATTAATAGGGGTCGGTGATCTCGTCCGTCGCTCAAGAAAAGTTTACCTGATTTTTCTTTTTTTAGTTAGAACAGCGCTTGAATTGTGCCAGGTTACATGTAAAGAAAGGTGGGTATATTTTTATAATTACCGTAAATTTAACTAGTATATACGAACTATTTTTGGGTTTCTGGTAGCGGCGTAAATATTATTCTAAAAAATGCTTTATAAAGTAAATAGAGAACACATCTTGTCACTTTCCTTGAGTGGAACATCTTTTACAATTTGGGTATATGTATAATCATTTTACTAGTGAGTGACACTAAAGGTATATGCGAAAAATTATTGAAATCGGATACACATACGTAGGTGTCTACCTTTTTTGTCACACAACAGGTTTTTGTTGTATGAAGCTTTACTATCTAGGAGCATAAAAACTGGCCTATTCAAGACTCTGGTTCTGTTCAAAGCACATAGTTCGAAATAGATGCTCTTCAAATTTAGAGGTGTTTTATTATTTACAAACTGGTATGGTGTATCTGAAGTCACTTGAAATAGCATAAAAACCTTTGGTCGGCGCGTCCTTTGTAATTTCATGACGTATCATAGGCGTGCGGCATTTATTTAGAACGATAATAATAATGTTTTTATATCACAATAAATGGATTTTACTATCTTCTTATTTTTTTGATTTGGGATAAAAAATACTTATATTGGGAGTTTAATTTATGTTGACTGAAAGTTAAGAAATGGAAAAATTACAGAATTCCAACGTTTGACATAGGCAAATATTTACATAGCAGGTAGGTATATAAAAAGGTATATAAAGACTTACATTATAGGTATTTATATATCATCCTCGCCTTCGGAGCTGTTGCTAGAGTCATCTTGTAGAGGAATTACAACGGGATTTACAGGAGGCAAAACACAATATTCATTTTCTTTTTCAATAATATGCCTAGAACACTGCTTCCATAGGTCTGTGGCAGCAATATGAGATACTGCATCTCTTATTGTGGCCAATAGCGATTCACTTAATTGAGGGGTCTGATTATATTTTCTTACTTTTTTTTTTAAAGCAGCCCAGACCAACTCAAGCGGGTTAAAAATGCAGTAATAGGGAGGTAGACGTAATACTTCATGACCATTTTGCTGAAGCAGATTGTCAACAACATACTCTTTTTCAAATTTTTGTCTTTTAATAAGATCCAATAATATGGCTTTGGTTGATTTTTGTGGTATTTCCATTCCCTTATCCTTCATAAAATCAATAATGTCTTGTTTTTTTGTGCCTGTATTCGGAATTTTGTTTTTCTGTCAGGAATGGTATGGCGCATTGTCCGTAATAATCACTGAATTTGGGGAAATGTTTGGTATTAACTGCTGCTCTATCCACTTTTCAAATAAGTCGGAGGTCATGTCCTCATGATAGTCGGCACATGATTCTTTGATATTTTTGGCAGATAACAGCAAGGCATTAGGTATAAATCCATTTTCACTGCCAGCATGGAGAATAATGATTCGTTTTCCAAGGTTGCATGGTGCATTTAAAATGCACTTGTTGCTGTCGTCAACCCAGCCGTACTGCACAACATCATGGGTATCATACCACGTTTCATCCAGGTAAATCAGATTTCTTTTCTGCTCTCTATAGATTTTAACTTTGTGCAAAAATTCTTGGCGCAATTCAACGATTCGAGACGACTCCATAATCACCATTCTTTTATCTAATTTTTTGTATTGAAAACCACACAGTCTTATAATACAGTGCAGTGAGTCTAAGCATTTGTAATTATAAAAATCTTCAGGATAATCTTTTAATTTATCCCGTATCATTTCCAACGTGGGCACCAAATTTTCTTTATAAAATCCGTATATTATACGACGAATATCTTCCTGAAAACCCACGTCTATTCTTTTTAATTTTTGCCCTATGCGCTTTCTGTGGAAGGAATGATTGACTACATCTCCCCTTTTTATAACCCGATAAATGGTAGACCGACTGATTTTTGTCAGGATACAAATTCTGTTTAAAATTTGATTTTGCGAGGAATCTGGATTTTCGTTTTTCAGACAATCATACATATTTAGGATTACTCTTTGGGTCTGTTCCTCTAAATCTTTATGAAAGAATTCTGCCTGCACAGGTTAATCAACCATCTCCTCGTGGCTTGGAGCATTTTCCCAAGGTCTCCAAAGAGCCATATTTAGGACACACAAGAACAATCAACACAACAATTAAATCAACAAGTAAACTGAGTATTCAAAAGTCAAAAACACACAAACTAATAAAATCTATGAAAAAACACGGACAGACTAAAGAAAACACGTTTATTCACCGCTACACGGCACTGGCTAAACTGTTTCAATTTTCAGTAGCCACCTGCACTTGTTCCGAGCTCTGAAATACACGCTTTCTCATTGGCTATGTCCACGCATAGGCGTGCTTTACTCCACGTGGACCGGTGAAACTACCTTTGATCTCTTATACTGCGAAATTTGGCGATTTTTGCAGCAACACAGCGTGTTAAATATAGATATATAAAACGCACCCGGTATTTCACAGTGTTTCAAGTAACTTCAGATAAAGTATACGTTAGTAAAAAGAACCTCACCTCCGTCGACAAGCTCTGGTTAGCCCCGTTGGCCAGAAGGTACCTGACGACGTTGTCATGGTTCTCTTGCGCGGCCATGTAGAGCGGCGTGAAGCCGTTCTGGCTCTGCACGTTGACGGCTGCGCCATGTTGGACCAGCAACCGCACAACCTCTTCTTGCCCCGCAAGAGAGGCGATGTGCAGGGCCGTGTTGCCCTTCTTGGTCGCCGCGTCCACTGCCGCGCCTCGACGGAGCAGTTCGGCCACGATGTCCGCGTGGCCATCTTTCGAAGCTAAGTGGAGAGCGTTCAGGCCATTCTGGAATCGGAAAAAAAATAAAGGAGCTATTCTATAGGTAGGTCAGGACATTGTTATAGTCTTCCGAGCGTTCTGGAATTTGAATGGGGGCTAGTGGGGCTGTTCTCATTGCGGGTTTTCAGATTTTTAAGCTTGGAAAATTCAAAAAAAGAATCTTTTGAAATTTTTGAGCATTTTCAGGATTTTAACGATTTTTAAAAAATGTTGAGTACCTTAAGAATCTTGAAAATTTTGATAAATCTGAAAATTTGGAAGTTTTGGATATCTTGAAAACATCAAAAATTATGATATATATTTTTCAAAGATTTGGAAATTTTAATAACACTGATCAACAGCCAAAAAATATCCTAAATAAAATCAACAAAATATTACTATTTTTAATGTGCTAAAACCGGAATGAAACTTATTTTTTCAATATTAGTTCAAGTTTTAGAGATACGGATACGGTGTTCCTGCTGTGACAGTGTTAATATATCTACTGTAATTCACAAGAATGCACGTGCTACATTTTTATATTCGGCAAGGAAAGATGATGTAATCGGCATGATTGTGTTACGTTATACATACGTGTACATTATATTGTTTTATATTAGCCATTTTTTCCTCAGTTGGCTGACAGCGTTCATGCAAGATGTCTCGAAAGTGTGTAAACAATCCAGATCAGTTTTGTTACGTGTGTGGTGATGTGACTTTTGCGTCTCAGAGACGGTCTATTACTCCACTAATAACAAAGGCATATCGGCTTTATTTCGGTTGTAAACTAGGTGATCAAGACAAACAGTGGGCACCCCACATCTGCTGTAATACATGTGCTTCAAGGCTGAGGAGCTGGTTAAATAGCAAAAAACGGTCTATGCGCTTTGCTGTCTCAATGGTTTGGAGAGAGCCTACAAATCATATTAATGATTGTTACTTTTGCATGGTACCTTGTGTTGGACAAGTCACAGGTATGTCCAAGAAAAAAAAAATCGGTTATTAACTACCCAAACATACCATCTGCGATGAGACCTGTGCCTCACAGTGACGAAAATCCTATTCCAAAACCCCCAGAATCCTACACCTGCGAATCAAAAAACGAATCAGATCATGGCGATCGAGTGATTCGTCAGGAAGAAGATATGCCATCAACGTCAAGAGATCCTGATTTTATACCGAGCACGTCATGCCACCAACCGCACAAAATAACACAGTCAGAATTAAATGATCTTGTAAGAGATTTAGAACTTCCAAAATGTAAGGCAGTGTTACTTGGATCAAGACTGCAGCAGTGGAACTTGTTAGAAGACGATGTTTCGGTATGTGTTTTTCGTAAACGCCACAAACACTTAGAACCATTTTTCAATATGGAGAATAACTTGGTTTTCTGCAGTAACATTAACGGCTTACTGGCGGCTTTAAATATAAACTATAACCCAGAAGAATGGAGATTGTTTATAGACAGTTCAAGATTGAGTTTAAAGGCAGTGTTATTGCATATTGGAAATATTTTACCATCTCTTCCTGTAGGGTATGCAGTTCACATGAAAGAATCATATGACAATATGAAGTACCTATTGACATGAATAAAATACGATGAGCAACAATGGCATATTTGTGGCGATTTGAAAGATGTTGCACTTTTACTTGGGCTGCAGCTAGGCTACACAAAGTTTTGCTGTTTTTTGTGTGAATGGGACAGTCGGGCAAAGGCACTTCATTACACCAGACAAAACTGGCCTGTTCGTGAATTCCTAGAGCCAGGTCAAAAAAATGTACAGCATATGATAATTGGTAGATTCGAAAAAAAATTTATTACCACCACTGCATGTCAAGTTGGGCCTAATGAAAAACTTTGTCAAGGCATTAGTTAGAGATGGGTCAGCTTTTCAATACCTGCGTCAGAAATTTCCAAGACTAAGTGAGGCAAAGGTTAAAGAAGGTATTTTTGTTGGGCCACAGATTCGAAATATTTTGAAAGATACACAGTTTGAAAACACTTTAACAGGTACTGAAAAAACTGCTTGGAATGATTTCCGTCTGGTGGTCACTAATTTCTTGGGAAATAGAAAAGCTGACAACTATAAAACCCTTGTCAAAAATATGCTGTCATCGTATCAAAAGATGGGCTGTAATATGTCTTTTAAGATACATTTCCTACACTCACACCTGGACTTTTTTCGTGACAATTGCGGAGCCGTAAGTGATGAGCACGGCGAACGTTTTCATCAGGATATTTCAACAATGGAAAAAAGGTACCAGGGAAAGTGGAATCCTTCCATGCTTGCAGACTACTGTTGGACTATTGGTAGAGATGCTCCAGAAACGATCCATAAAAGAACAGCAAAAAGACAGCGCATATAGTGATTCTTATAAGTATATGAATCTTGTTACTTTTTTTAATATATCCTTGAAAATAAAAAGTTTTTTTTCTAAACCGCAACTAATTGTTTTATTTCATTGTCATTTTTGGATTCAGCGCCCCAAAATTAACAAAGAAGTGCACTTTTCCCACAAGATACAATTAAAAAACTAAAATTTGTTGTCCAGTGTAATCATGAAAGGCTTATAAAATCCGCAAATTTCTCAACTTTTAAAAGGTTTTTCAAACTTTCAAATTATTGGAAATTATGAAGATTTTGTAATCTTTAAGCTTTAAAATTTGAAAATTCGAAAAATTTTGAAAATTTGGAAAATTTCGAAAATTTTGAAAATTTTGATAACTGAAGATTTTTAAAATTTCGATAATCTTGATAATTTTGAAAATACTGGAAATTTTGAAAGTTTCGCAAATTTTGAAAATTTGGAAAAACTTGAAAATTCGAAAAATTTTGAAAATTTGGAAAATTTTGAAACTTTTGAAAATTTTGTAAATTTTGGGAATTCTGAAAATTTTGAAGAATCTGGTAATTTTGAAAATTTATAAAATATCGAAAATCTTGAAAAATTTGTATATTTCAATGATTTTATGAAGTTTATAAAATTCGAAAATATTGAGGGTTTTGAAAACCGAAAATTTTGAAATTCTGGAAGTGCTTCTCAGCGATTTTAAGATATTCTATATTTCTAGTCATTTTCAAACTGAAAAGGAGCAAGTTCAAGTTGGTTAGATAGTTGAGATCACTCTAATGTCAGGTCATTATTGAATTGAAAGGGAGCTTTGAGGAACTATTTCAAGAATCAATTCACTGTGAAAAAAATATATAATAGATAACTCGACTCCATTTAGATATACGAGAATTAGGAGTAAGAAAATTAGTTTCTCGTTGGATACCCCACCTGTTGACGGAAGAGCAGGGTTAATTGGTGTCAAAAAACGCTTGACCGTTGTTTCAATTCTGGAAACTCAATTAATGTGTACAGCATTGTTAGTGCTGATGAATCGTGGATTTACTGTTATGAACCAGAAAATAAACGACAGTCGGCTGTTTGGATGTTCCAAGGTGAAGAAAACCCAACAAAAGTCATCCGTTCTCGAAGAGTTTCGAAAAAGAGGTCGCGACATTTGTGTCAAAAGCGGTTCATATTGCAATAATTTCTCTTAATGAGCAAAGAACTGTTACTGGGGATTGGTATACCACCATTTGTTTGCCAAAAGTCATCACCGAGCTTCGAAAAATCAACCCCGAAAGAAGAATCATCCTCCACCAAGAGAATGCAAGCTCGCGCACAGCCCAAAAAACAAGGCAGTATTTAACGGAAGAAAACGTGGAATTATTGGACCATCCTCCAGTCCTAACGATTTCTTTACTTTCCCGAAAATTCAAAACGGGCTGCGTGCCAAAGGTTCCAGTCACCAGAAGAAGCAGTTGACGCATTCAAAAATGCCGTTTTGGATCTGCCAGCAAACTTCGAAAAATAATAAAATCATTTAAAACTACCTACCGTGTTGTTTTATTTCCATATGCAAAACTTAAAAGACATCCCTCGTATACTAAATATTTCCCATCCTGGTGCAAATTTGTCAGTAGACTAATTGCGCCATTCCTGAATGTTGATCTAAAGGCTAGAGATGTTTGCTCGGTGTAGTTTAGGTGATTAATACCCGAGATTAATTTTGGGATCACTTAGGCGGACATATGCACAGATAGGAATTTCCGGTATTTAGACTCAGATATACAGATCGCATATAAACGCATCAACTAGGTAATATCTCTGACGTGTATGCAGTACGTATTAAAATAGATGGAGGAAAATGCAACAACGATTTTGCCGTCTCATGGTAGAATAGGTGAAGAACCACACTTATTGTAAGAGAGGCAGTAGGTTGAAAAATATTTTTAAAGATCATAAAAGCTCGAACAGTATCTTTTTGAACATCAGCAATATATTTTAGGAAATTTATACTTACAGCATTACTTGTGTTGATGTCTATGTTTTGCTTCAAATACTCTAAAACCTTGTCCAGTTGCCCATTACGCGCTGCCCGGAGAAATGCTGTATTTCCGTCAGACTGTAACAAGAAAACAATGTCAGAAAAGTATTATCGAAGCATCGCTATGAATATGTACACATATACATCTCTAAAGATGGATTCATAAAAAAATAAATTAAGAAATGACATTCTGGTAGGAAATTTATTGATATCTTCATAGAAGAAATAACGATGACGTCAGAATTGAGCCCTGTGGAACACCCAGATTGATACTGTGGAACGAATAGTACGCAGATTCCCTTATTTTATTTTATTCGTATATTTCTCAACAGATACAAGATGCAATTACAGAGAAACACTATACAAGTGATAGAAAACAAATAGACACACATACAAAAAATAGTATCATGGATTGATGATACTAAAAAGATTTATCCACGACAAAACGTACTGTTTGCTAACTAGCTATTGAAGCTTATTATATACTAAGTGACATATAAATCCGAACACCCAGTTTAAATGGTTTTATTTCAATAAAATTCTGTATAAGTACTTAATGAAGCATAATAAGTAAATGATAAAAATTTCAAAATGATTGCACTGCTTTAAAGCCCTTTGACCTTTAATAATGTGTGGATGCACCCTGATGTGCTACGCATTCTCCAACGCGCCTAGGCATGCTTCTGATCAGGTGGTCAATGTCCTCCTGTGGTATCTCATTCCAGGCAACCATCAACTCCTCTCGAAGTGCTTCTAGAGTCTGAGGAGGACGTTGCAAATTGAGCAATCTCCTACCCATCATATCCCACACGTGCTCAATTGGGGATAAGTCGGGAGATCTTGGTGGCCATGGTAACAATGTGACATCATTATGTTGAAAGAAGTCTATTGTGAGTCTTGCAACATGTGGTCGGGCATTATCTTGTTGGAAAGTTGGATCTGCCAGGGTGTCAAGATAGGGTAAAAGATGGGGTTCTAGAACTTCGTGGATATAACGCTGCGCGTTCATGTTACCTCTGATGAAGATTAAAGGTGACCTGGAACCATAAGCTATAGCACCCCAAACCATAACTCCAACAGTGTGATGAACATGTCTTGCAACAAAAAACTGTGGATTCCTCCTTTCACCACGTCGCCTTCTAACCCTGGCACGACCATCGTGCATGCCTATACAAAATCGAGACTCGTCACTGAAGACAATACTGTTCCATTCCTGATCCCAGAGTGACCGTTGTCTGCACCACTCAAGGCGATTACGTCGGTGTTCTCGAGTTAAAGGGAGGACCCAGTGTGGCCGGTATGAAAACAAGCCAAAACTTCTCATTCGTCGGTAAACACGTCGCATGCCAATAGGTCTTCCGTGTTCTGCAAACCATTCATTTGCAATGGACCTGGTAGTGGAGAAACGGTCCCTTAAGGCCAATAATCTTAGGCGGCGATCTTCACGGTCAGCTGTTCTACGGCGGCGTCCAGTGCTCCTTGCTCTTTGCGTACGGCCTTCTCGAAGCCATGCCTGACAACACCTAACCACAGTGTCTACACTTCTTTGCACTCTAACTGCAATTGCCCGAAAAGAAAGTCCCACTATACGGCCCCTATCAAACTCATTAAGTTGACGAAATCGTACAGGTCTCCGTACTCTAGGCATCGTAACCGATCGTAAAGGATGTCAAGAACCAAAATTCGCCAACGTTGATTCTTTACTGCGGCTGAAATATTCATTTTTAGAGCGTTAGTGAATTAAAAAAAAGCAGTATAAAAACCGGAATGTCCAACTGATAAGGCTGAAAATTTTTTCACTTATTATTTACAGTAAGATAAATACATTCACCAACTTTAATTAAAATAAAACCATTTAAACTGGGTGGTCGGATTTATATGTCACTTAGTATATGAGCCGTCTAACTGCAAACCCCGCCAAATGCAAAAGTTATAAAAATTGAGATAGCACTGTCATTCGCCAGGAAATGTTGATATCTGCATTCTGTCAAGAGATTATTTCGCAAAACCCGACATTTATATTACTATCGAGCATCAAAATTTTCAATACATCGCCATTTGCAGATTTATTAGTTTGCAAAAACCGCCAAGTGCGTGTGTCAAATAGGAAACTCGTGTTTTGGCCTTGTGACCGTGTACTTAGACTATTTACAGGGTTTCGCGCCACTTCCTGGCAGTCTCATCATTGTGGTTATAACGCAAGCAGGTGTGAAAGTCATTGTTGCTGTTTATTAAAATATTTGGTGAATAACTTAATAATGAGTGACATTAAGGTTACAAAAACTCTTCCAGAGCATAGTCGAAAAAGGATGGTACAATCGCATAAACATAAACGTGCCATTGCTAAGCAAAACCGGTGAGTTTGTTGTTGCTTTTACGAGACAAAACGTTAATCATGATTTTTGTGTTATTGCAGATATTCTCCGAAGTCTTTACCTGCAATCACAAAAAAGGAAGTATTAAATGCAAAACATTATCTATGATACACATTCAGCGCTTCCATGGATTGTTCTACAAAAACAAAGATAAAGTAGCTCAAGACACGTTTAATCTACAAGTGCTGCTTTGCGCTAAATCCGAAAAGATCACGCTTAGCAATAAACGCAAAGGGCAAGAAAAGTGTGACTATCGACTATAACGTTATAAAAAACAAAGAATTGGTCCGTGTCTGTAGAAATAGTTTCCTTGGAATATTAAACTTAAAAAAAGAGAGTTCAAAGAATTGTCAAACAATCCGAAAACGTTCCTAAGGAAAATAGGGGTGGCGATAGAATTGGCTTGAAGAATGAAGAAAAAAAGCGCGCAATTGCTCATTTTATAGAAAATTTAAAATGCACAGAGTCCCACTACTGTAGAATTCGCACTAATGCCAGAGTCTACCTAAATTGTGATCTGAATATTAGAAAATTGTATAAATTATACAATGCATTTGCAGAAAATCACCTTAAAGTAAAGGAATCACATTTTAGAAAATACGTGAACAGGAACTACAACCTTGGATTTGGAACTCCAAAGACCGATGCTTGCTCTGTTTGTCTAAACTTCAAGGAGGAAATAAAAAAAGAGAAGGGCGACACTTCAAAAGCCAACTTAATAATAAAACAAGGAGTACACAAACTGAAAGCCAATGCTTTTTTCGCAATGCTTAAAGAAGAAAAAGAAAATGTTGTGAATTATTCCTTGGATTGTCAGAAAAATTTGGCCTTACCTCGACTTCCAGATTCCTCAGCATATTTTTCTCAGCAATTTAATCTATATAATTTTACAGTAGTAAAGGGTTCTTCGAAGTCACAGTTATGTCCTTACAACGTGACCTCATACTTGTGGACAGATGTGGATCTCCCGAAAAATTCCAGTATAATTGCATCAGCGTTGTTTGATTTTTTAAGAAAAGAAGAATTTTCGGCATCAAAAGATACAATCCGTTTGTTCGCCGATGGTTGCGGCGGACAGAATAAAAATTCAATAGTTTTAACAATGCTCTCAGTCTGGCTTATAAAATATGCCCTGGCCCATCTGAAAACAATTGAATTTGTCTTTCCAATAGTGGGCCATTCTTTCATGCCTCCTGATCGAGTTTTTGGTCTAATTGAACGTGTTATTAAAAAAAATACAACTATCTGCGAACCAGAAGAGTATTACAAGATTATAGAAGAATATTCAGTACTAAAGGTTTTGGGAAAAGACTGGCATGCTTATGATTGGAAAGCGGCTGTTCAGAATATTATCAAACCGCCCGGAACTTGGCATTTCCAATTCAATCCAACAAAAAGGTTTCTGATAACAAGAGACCATAGTCAGAAGATTGCTTTAATTCAAGAAGAAGCAAACTATCGCATAAATTTAGGAATGGCTAGAAGTGTCTGTAAAAAAAGCAAAAGAATATTGTCCATCGCACCAAAAAAACTAGTCTCTGGGCGTACTGTTAATAACGACAAGAAACAATCCATTAACCGTTTGTTAACCAATCATTATGGTCCTGATTGGAAATCTTTGCAAAATCTAATATTCTATAAGGATGCAATGGAGAACAACATAATCCAAACAGGCTCTTCTACAATGACAGAAGAATTCATCTGCGACCAAACCCCTGTGGATGACACACGTTTTGTTTAATTATATAGTTTGTATTTTTAAAATTTAAGTTCATTTTTAATTATTAAAGAAATAGTTAGCTTATAAGTTTGCTCCATAATAAGAATTAATAACATGTTTGATTAGCTGAAGAATACTGTGTTATTTTTTGTGGGATCCAATCTACTACTTGTACCTGCTTTTCTAATATAGTTTGTTGTTGAATTATTTGGTCTTAATGGACTCTTTTTGGGTTTAAAACTGTTGTAGTTAACTAAAACTAATTTATCTAAAATCCTTGATTTTGGCTGCAAAACCCCCCATTTTTCACATTTATTTTCAAATCCCGCCAACTGCATTTTATTTTTCTTATTTTACGGTGCTAGTGCACTCTTTCTTGTAATACAATGAATGATATTTATTAAGAAACAGTATCTATATCAACACGACATTAAAGGAAATTCATTTTGTGGATAGTATTAGCCAAAACAGTTTTTCGCGTTTTTCTTGGAACTGTATGATTTGCACTTGGCGGGGTTTGCATTTAGACGGCTCATATATAAGCTGCGTTTTTGTAACGACATGGAAGCTTATATTCGACTCTGGTCTCGCTCTTGTTGTAAGAATATCCTCAGTACGCTGATTAGTTATTCCAGGATCATAAGGTCGAGATATATTTAACTTGTACTTACGCGGAGCGAACAGCAATGTAAATAAACAATGGCGGAAATTCAAACAAAAACGGGACTCGCTGCTGCCGAATATACCACCTAGCATATTACGAAACACCAGAGGCTGGATAAATTTAAATGATAAAAATGTGCATCGGTCCGCAGTGCTAAATGCTAATGCAGTCGTTAACTCATTCAGGAAGCTGGTGACGTGGCCAGATGGCACACGAACTTTCGACATTTACGGAGAAAGATATTAGGTCGGAGTATTTAGGAATTCTAAAAAATAAATTACGGATGGATTTTAGGACAGAAACTGTAAGCGTACACAATATTTTATACACTTTTTCGGGTGTTAATTTAGATCCTTCCATGAAATTTGACCTGTACCTGCTAAGCACCAATAAGCATCTTTTGATGTATAATATACTAAGTGACATATAAATCCGAACACCCAGTTTAAATGGTTTTATTTTAATAAAAGTTGGTGAATGTATTTATCTTACTGTAAATAACAAGTGAAAAAATGTTCAGCCTTATCAGTTGGACATTCCGGTTTTTATACTGTTTTTTTTTTAATTCACTAACGCTCTAAAAATGAATATTTCAGCCGCAGTAAAGAATCAACGTTGGCGGATTTTGGTTCTTGACATCCTTTACGATCGGTTACGATGCCTAGAGTACGGAGACCTGTACGATTTCGTCAACTTAGTGAGTTTGATAGGGGCCGTATAGTGGGACTTCGGGAAGCTGCACTTTCTTTTCGGGCAATTGCAGTTAGAGTGCAAAGAAGTGTAGACACTGTGGTTAGGTGTTGTCAGGCATGGCCGTACGCAAAGAGCAAGGGGCACTGGACGCCGAAGTAGAAGAACAGATCGTGAAGATCGCCGCCTAAGATTATTGGCCTTAAGGGACCGTTTCCCCACTACCAGGTCCATTGCAAATGAATGGTTTGCAGAACACGGAAGACCTATTGGCATGCGAAGTGTTTACCGACGAATGAGAAGTTTTGGCTTGTTTTCATACCGGCCACATTGGGTCCTCCCTTTAACTCGAGAACACCGACGTAATCGCCTTGAGTGGTGCAGACAACGGTCACTCTGGGATCAGGAATGGAACAGAATTGTCTTTAGTGACGAGTCTCGATTTTGTTTAGGCATGCACGATGGTCGTGCCAGGGTTAGAAGGCGACGTGGTGAAAGGAGAAATCCACAGTTTTTTGTTGAAAGACATGTTCTTCACACTGTTGGAGTTATGGTTTGGGGTGCTATAGCTTATGGTTCCAGGTCACATGAACGCGCAGCGTTATATCCACGAAGTTCTAGAACCCCATCTTTTACCCTATCTTGACACCCTGGCAGATCCAACTTTCCAACAAGATAATGCCCGACCACATGTTGCAAGAGTCACAATAGACTTCTTTCAACATAATGATGTCACATTGTTACCATGGCCACCAAGATCTCCCGACTTATCCCCAATTGAGCACGTGTGGGATATGATGATATTGCTCAATTTGCAACGTCCTCCTCAGACTGTAGAAGCACTTCGAGAGGAGTTGGTGGTTGCCTGGAATGAGATACCACAGGAGGACATTGACCACCAGATCAGAAGCATGCCTAGGCGCGTTGGAGAATGCGTAGCACATCAGGGTGCACCCACACATTATTAAAGGTCAAAGGGCTTTAAAGCAGTGCAATCATTTTGAATTTTTTATCATTTACTTATTATGCTTCATTAAGTACTTATACAAAATTTTATTAAAATAAAAACATTTAAACTGGGCGTTCGGATTTATATGTCACTTAGTATATTTTCTGATATTTTCGTACAGGATGTATACTGGAGATTTTTCAAAAAAGTATGGTACGCCATTGCTTTTTCTGAAAATAAAAATTAATTTTCGAAATCTTCATTTATTACGCAATAAATTTGACCTATCGACTATTTTCCGTCCGATGCATAGTTTTCGCGTCAAAAAATAAAAACCGTTTTCATGCATTTGTGGTACAGCGAAAGAAATATTCCTGGTATTTTTTAAAGGGATCGCCAATCCATGAGGAACAGAATTGAAGCCGGTATTCTAGCAAAAGGAAGACATTTTCAAAAATCCTTTTGATAATTAAATTGGATAGTATTGCTTTATGAGATCCACAGAAATTGTCAAAACTTGTTGCAAATTCGTTTTTTTAATATTCATTTTTATTCATGTTATTTTTTACGCGAAAACTGTGCATCGGACGGAAAAAAGTCAACAAGTCAAATTTATTGCAAAATAAATGGGGATTTCAGAAATGATTTTTATTTTCGAAAAAAGCAATGACGTACCGTACTTTTTTAGAACCTTCCGTACGGACGCCACTGGTGGAAATATTAAAAAATATTCTACATCAAAAAATGCCTATTGGTGCTTAGTATTCGCATGTCAAATTTCATGTAAATATCTAGAACAGTATTAAAGTTATGATAAAATTTTAACACCCTGTAGCTCAAAAGTTGATAGGTTTAGGACATCAATTTTTCTTCCTAAAATCATCCTCTATTTTCAGCCATCAATTAAATTTCATCCTGTATAACCTACATGCACTTTAAGTAACGATGTACTATTGAATCTGTGCCGCCCTGTTTTTGTATTTGAGGACAAATCGACCTGTTCTTACAGAAAGAGGGCGTCAAGTGCACACCCCACATCCTCTTAGGGTGAACACGCTCTATGTAGGGTGCCATTATCGTGGGGTGACTCGACAGACAGACACTTGTACGTTCGTATCATTAAATGTATGCTACCACCGGGGTGATATGACGTTACTGTTCTATATGCTCGTAAGGGGGTGATTCATCAACATTTAACAATTAATGTCAGGGGTAGTAACAGACGATGAAGTTGTTTCCTAATGTTAATTTGTATATATGTAGGTACTTTGCATAGAGGTGTTTTACCTAGCACCTACGTCGATTTCATGTGTTTCCAGACTCAAAACACTTAGATATAGAAAAGATTTTATATTCGTTCTCTCTCTCTCTTTATCAAAAAAAAGTAGTTCTGTCGTTATAATGGGTGATTTTTTTGCTAGTATCTTTTTGGCAACGCTGTTTTTGACAGATGACGCGTGAATCGTGTCTTGTGTCATTGTCAAACTTGTTCAGTTTGGTCTATAATTTAACCATGAATCGACTTACGAACGAACAACGCTTGCAAATTATTGAATTTTACTATCAAAATTCATGCTCGGTTAAGAGAGTGTATCGAGCACTGCTTCCAATTTATGGGCAATTTGGGCAAAATCAAATCCTATCAATCAAAACTTTCGGTATATGAATCAACCTTTCATTCCGGATTGTTCTTCATGTTGCCTGTCACCACTTTTGGCTCTCTTTATACTGACTGACAATCTTCACTTTAAAACATATTATACAGGGTGTTTTCAAAGTCATCCATTTTAACAGCTTATAAAACTCGTCAAAAGAAGTTGATATACAAATCACCTATATAATAGTCGCATAATAAGAGTTAAATTGATACCGTTGTTACAAAAACTGTCCAAAATTGTTATTAGAATATTTACTGCTCCATGACGATACACCAACTCTTTCAAATAACCCCACAGAAAAAAATCGTAAAGCGTTAAATCAGGAGAGCGAGCAGACCAAGAAACGTATCCATCTATTCGAAAACTCATTATTTAGATGTTCATGAGCTTCTCGTCTAAAATGTAGCGGAGCCCCGTCATGTAGGAACCACATATTCTGTTTCACATTTCGAGGAACATCTTCTAATAATTGTGGCAGATTGTCCCGAAGAAAATCTAAATAAATTTCACCGGTCAGTCGAGGTGGAAAAACGTAGCGCCAGCACAAACGTTTAATAAGAATCTGTGTTGAAAATGAGTTCTTTATGCAGCATGCGTTTTTCTACTGCCCAAACATGATTGTTCTGGAAAGTGTGCGCTCCATTTGGTGTAAATGTGGCCTTGCCTGTACACAAAATGAAATTCGTAAAATCTTCATTTCTGTAGGACTGTTCTAAAAGTCGCTGACAAAATACAACCCTTCTAGAATGATCTTCAGGTTTAAGCGCTTGTACCCGTTGATAATGATTCTTGGCGTATTGTCTTCGACACTTTAGTAATAGAAACTTCAACTTGAGGTGCTATGGCTCTAAACTGAGTCCAAATTCAAGATGAGATGTCAATAATAACAGTTAGCGCGTGATCTCTCGGTAACAGGTGGGCACAACGCCTCTTATTGGTCAATTCGCCATTAAATTTCAAGCGGTCGTCTGGCGGAATAATGCGCGGGGCAGGGGCATGGCAGGCAGAGTTGCATTCAGGCCACCGACCGTCGCGTGTATCACTGCGTGCTCGTGTTTTC